ATTAAGCACTGTGGTTCACAGAAGGTCCTGTGTTCAGGTCTCTGTTTGAGGAGGCTTCATGTCCTCCCTGTGTCTGCGTGGGTTTCCTCCGAGTACGCTTCGGTTTCCTCCCACACACTCCAAAGACATGATGCACAAAAGTGAAATAAAACAATGAATAAACTGTGGTCTTCATTATGAAGTTTCTCTATTTCAACCCACAATGCAACCTGAACCCATCCAAAAACAGCCCCTTCAGTTACATAATCTCGTTTCATTTCTTGTGTGTGTGTGTATGTGTGTGTGTGTGTGTGTGTGTGTGTGTGTGTGTGTGTTAATGTGTGTTGAACAGATGAATGTTGGCAGTAAAAAAAGTTTTTTCATTAAAAGACGAACAGAAAAAGACCAAAGTTCTCACGACCCAAACAATCTGATCTTTGTGTGTGTTAATGTGTGTGCGTGTGTGTTGTGTGTGTGTGTATGTTGTGTGTGTGTGCGTGTGTGTTGTGTGTGTGTATGTTGTGTGTGTGTGTGTTGTGTTGGTGTGTGTGTGTGTGTGTGTGTGTGTGTGTGTGTGGGCCGATGGTTTCACTGTTTCCAAGAACAGACTGAACACATCATATCTGTCTCCTGAAGATATGTGGACAACAGGAAACGAGTTCAAGCAGCTGGGACACTGTGTGTGTGTGTGTGTGTGTGTGTGTGTGTGTGTGTGTGCAGTGTTTGTGGGCTCAGTTGAGTTAGAGTCTGACTGAGTAGAAAGCAGAACCCTGTAGGGCTGCAGTTGGAACAAAGTTACAGATGTTTCTGTAGTAACGGCTTCTTCTGGACACTGGAGACGGTACTGACTCAACCCTGTAGACACATGACTTTGGATGCTGAAGATAAAAACAGTGGAGTGAGACAAAGAGTGGGAGACGATTGAAGACTGACAGAGAGACAGACAGAGCAACAGACAGCTGCTGACATGAGCAGAAAACTGTCATTTTTTGAATTTTGGAGGGGTAAGAAGGAGAGAGGAGCGATTCTGGAGAGAACCAATCAGCTGAGACTTCTACCTTCTCAACAGTGAGTCCAAAAATCCACATTTATTGTCTTTATTAATTCAATTCAATTTAATTCAATTCAATTTTATTTGTATAGCGCCAATTCATAACAGAAGTTATCTCAGGACACTTTTCAAATAGAGCAGGTCTCGACCGAACTCTTTAAAACATTATTTACAGAGACCCAACAGTACCACCATGAGCAAGCACTTGGCGACAAGGGCAAGGAAAAACTGCCTGTTAAAAGGCAGAAACCTAGGACAGATCCTTCGGCTCTAGGTGGGTGGTCCTCTGCCTCGACCAGTTGGTGAGAGAGAGAGAGAGAGAGAGAGAGAGAGAGAGAGAGAGAGACAGGTGCACAGCAACAACAGTACTGGCAATGGCAATCTAGCAGGACCATGGCAGGAGGCTCCACCAGGATCGATAAGGACCTGCGAGACAAGAAAGCACAAGAACTCCAGGGAAGAAGTGAAGTTACAATGCATTAATGGGACATGAATGAGTGCAGAAAGAGAGAGGAAGAGAGGGGCTCAGTGCCCCATGGGAAATCCCCCGATAGTCTCGGCCTATAGCAGCATAACTAAGGGATGGTTCAGGACTCACCTGATCCAGCCCTAACTATAAGCTTTATCAAAGAGGAATGTCTTAAGCCTACTCTTGAATGTGGAGAGGGTGTCTGCCTCCCGAACCACAACTGGAAGCTAGTTCCACAGGAGAGGAGCTTGGTAACTGAAGGCTCTGGCTCCTGTTCTACTTTTAGAGACTATAGGAACCACAAGTAGCCCAGCATTCAGAGAACGTAGTGTTCTAGAGGGGTAATAGGGTACTATGAGCTCTTTAAGATATGAAGGGGCCTGACCATGAAGAGCTTTATAGGTGAGGAGGAGGATTTTAAATTCTATTCTACATTTTACAGAGAGCCAGAGCAGAGAAGCTAGTACAGGAGAGATGTGATCTCTTTTTCTAGTTCCTGTCAGTACTCGTGCTGCAGCGTTCTGAATTAATTGGAGCGTTTTAATGGACTTATTGGGGCAACCTGATAATAAAGAGTTGCAGTAATCCAGCCTTGAAGTAACAAATGCATGGATTAGTTTTTCTGCATCTGTCTGTGATAGGAAGTGTCTAATTTTTGTAATATTACGTAAATGACAGAAGGCAGTCCTGGAGGTCTGCTTTATGTGGGAGTTAAAAGACAAATCCTGATCAAAGATAACTCCAAGATTCCTGACAGTGGTGCAATCAAGGTAATGCCATCTAGAGTAACCATATCTTTAGACAGTGAGTCTCTAAGGTTTTTGGGGCCAAGAACAAGAATTTCGTTTTTTTCTGAGTTTAACATCAGAAAATTGCAGCTCTAAACTAGTCTTTATTAAAGACACAGGTCTTTCTGTGATCAATAAGTAGCACAATACAGGCTTTCATCTTTCCAGCTCCTCAGGGGTGTGTCCAGAGTTTTTAGCTTTACTGTAGCTTTAAAATAGAGCCACAGCCTCTGAAAGACAGCGCAAGTGGAAGAGGGAACGAAAATGGAGGCCAATCAGATTTTTTTTTTTTTTTTTTTTTTTTTTAGGGACTGAGCCAGCAACCGCTGGAGGTCCCTATTGTTTTTGCTATGTTTCTTCTTCTTACCTTTTATTATTTTCAGCACTGTTTGATTGCGTTTTTGCCCCGAACATATACGAAAAGTAAATTTTATTTGGCAAAGTTGTCAGGCCTGGTGAAAATGGGGATACTCTATGCGTTGCTTTCGGGTTGGCCACTAGGTGGCGCTACTATCATAAAAAATGCATTTAGGCTAATAACTTCTGCATAGTTTGTTGCACATTCAAAAACCTTGTATCCACACGTTCGGTGAATAGAGCTGAATCTCCCCATATAGGCCACGCCCACTTCCACCAATAATCTTTCTCCGCTAGAGCGCGAAATGTCTATAAACTACTTTTCCGTGTTCCCCCCATGCACTTTGTCCGATTCGCACAAAATTTTTCACGTAGCATCTGAGGACCCTCATAATAAAAAAGTGATTAACAGAATTTTGATATTTCAAAAAACCAGCACATTATAAAATTAGCACTTCCTGTGGATTTTTTGTCAAAAAAGGAAGTGGACCATTTCTCCACATTGGTATGTCTGATTGACACCAAGCTTGGGTCCATAGTTCCACATGTCTTCCTTAAGCATCGTCCCTTGATCATATACCAAAAATCATGTTTGTCGTGTTTGTAGCGCCCCATACAGGATAAAAAAACAGCAGCCCCGGTGCCATGTTTCACCGATATCTACGAAACTCGGTAGGCACATGTAACATGCCGGGACGTACAAAAAAGCCTCTTGGACCCATAGCCGAAACCCCACAGGAAGTTGGCCATTTTGATTTTCAAATCTTTTATCGGATATGCTTCAAAATTTGTGAGTACAGTCAAAAAAATGGTGCTGATTAAAAGTTGTGCTATTTGTGCATGTACATCAAAGGGCGTGTCCGTGGCGTGGCATCAAAGTCAGCCATTTTGATTTTTTTTGTCATTTTCTGTGATTTTTCGTGTTGTATTTGAACGAACTCCTCCTAGGGAATTTATCGGATCTACTTCAAAATTGGTCAGTACAGTCAAAAAATTATGCTGATTAAAAGTTGTGCTATTTGAGACTGTATGTTGAACCGCGTGTCTCTGGCGTGAGGTCAAAAGTTGGCCATTTTGAATTCTGTGGTCATACAAACTGATTGAAAAGTTGAGCTATTTGTGACTGTACATCAAACCACGTGCCAGTGACAACTTGTCGATTTCAGCAGATTTGCCATAAAATAGTACTCACAACTTCAGTGTGCAATGTTCAATCTCCAATAAACTTCATATATTCTGAAACAGTTTTGCCCTGAACACGTCCTCGTAACATCAGCGTACGTGGTCCAATCTCAATGAAACTTTACGTGTTTGATAAAAGTCCCGCCCTGAACACGTCTACATGACAATATTCAGACAAAGTGATAGCGGCACCTACTAGCAACAGGAAAAAAAAATAATAATTCTAATTTTCTTTAAGTCACCCATTTCACAAGTCAAACAAGGTTATCTTATTATTATATTATTGTTACCTTATAGACTCAAGAATACATTCAATTCCAGACACGGAAGATGCTCTGATTTGAATTTACAACATATTTATTTTACCTACCAAACATGTACTAAGAAGTACACACACATAAATTTAAATAAAATAAATAAATAAAATAGCTTCAAATGAAAATGCCAGAAAAATTTACATTACATTCAAGTTTAACTTAAAGAGAAAGAAGGTGCTTGATTGCTTGAGCTACAATGACATAATAAAAAAGTGCAAATAAAATATGTGTGTCTGTGACTAATGTTAACCCACCGCAGCTGCATCTCCTAAATAATGCCGCGAGTGGGGATTGAGGAAGTGATGTAGCCTGCCTCTGCGCAGTGCGCTAATGCAGCCCCGGGACTCAGAAAACAGAAATATTTCAAAATAATAATAATAATAATAATATTAGCGAGACGAAATAACGTTATAACATTTCGTCTCGTCACGTTTTGGTCAACGAAAATGGAGATATTTTAGCAGAGTTTTTATTTTACAAACCACATTTAGTTCGTTAACGACGATAGTTAGTCATAATTTTTGTTGACGAAAGCAACACTAGATGACATGCAGCAAAGAGCCACAGGTTGGACTCAAACCTGGGCCGCTGCGTATGTGGGTCGCCAGCTCTACCAACTGAGCTAACTGGGCGCCCTGCCAAACAGATTTTGAGGGTGTTGTTGTTGTTGTGTGGGCAGTTGCCACCATGAGCAAGCACTTGGCAACTTGCGGGTAAAGAGGGAAGTGTGATTGAGTATAAATCAGTGATCAATAACAGCAATTGAATGTAAATTAGTGATCATTAACAGTGAATCACTGAGCTGGTAAATGGATTTCATTATTGAATATTGATCTTCAGTGAATTTTTTTTCACAGGAAACAGTTGCTAGGAGACAGCGCAGTCCGGGCGGCGCTGCAGAATGTGCAGCCTGTGTCTCTGCTGCCTCCTGTTGGTACGGAGGTCTTCAGATGCTTCACACCAGCCTCACTGGAAGTGATCCAACAACGACAGGAAGCAGAGAAGAAGGGGCGAGAGAAGCGGAAGAAGAACAAAGAGGTAGAAACACAATAATCACCGTTCAGCCGTCAATAATAAGGAATCAATAGTAAGCAATCAATAACCACTCTCTGGTTGACAGGAAGCACAGAAAGACTGGCTCAAACCAGCCAGAGACCTAGAGGCTGGGAAGCCCCTCCCATTCATCTATGGGGACCCGCCCCCTGAGCTTCTCAATACCCCATTGGAGGAGCTGGATCCCTTCTACCAATCACAGAAGGTCTTTCTCTCTCTTTCAGGAAATGACTGACCTCTGCCTTTCTGACCTCTGCCTCTGTCTCTATCTGACCTCTCTCTGTCTGTCGAACTTCTGTATGTCTGACCTCTGTCTCTGTCTGACCTGTCTGTCTGACCTCTGACCCACAGACATTCATCGTTCTCAGTAAAGGAAACATCATCCACAGGTTTAATTCTGAGTCGTCCTGTTACCTGCTGAGTCCGTTCAATCCGCTGAGGACCGTTGCCACCAAGATCCTCATTCACTCATATCCTTTGTGATGTCACACCATACTCCTCCTTGATTGGTGTTGTGGCCTGGAAATAAATCTCAGTGCGCCATCTTAAAAGATGTCTCAGTTCCTAAACTGCATCTGGAGTACAGAGGGGGGAGGAGGTGTCTCTCTCCTCTCTCCTCTGTCTCTCTTTTTGGTTATCTTTGACTCTTTGTTGTTGTTGTCTCTTTGTTGTTGTCTTTGTTGTTGTTGTTTTTGTCTCTTTGTTGTTGTGTCTTTGTTGTCTCTTTGTTGTCGTCTTTGTTGTTGTCTTTGTCTCTTTGTTGTTGTCTTTGTTGTTCTTTTGTCTCTTTGTTGTCTCTTTGTTTTTGTTCCTTTGTTGTTGTCTTTGTTGTTGCTTTTGTGTATTTGTTGTTGTCTTTGTCTCTTTGTTTTTGTCTGTTTTTGTCTCGTTGTTGTTGTCTCTTTGTTTTTGTTCCTTTGTTGTTGTCTTTGTTGTTGCTTTTGTGTATTTGTTGTTGTCTTTGTCTCTTTGTTTTTGTCTGTTTTTGTCTCTTTCTTTTTGTCTGTCCTTGTCTCTTTGTTGTTGTTTTTCCTCCATCTCTTTGCAGTCATTGTTTTATTATTCTGCACTTTGTCTCCTCTGTATTGTGAACTGACTGAAACTAGTTTGACATGTTGGTGAGTTTTTTCTTAACAGTAAAACTTTATTCAGTTTGTTCATCCTGGTGACGATTCTGACCAACTGTGTGTTCATGACGATCAGTGATCCTCCATCATGGATCAGGGCTGTGGAGTGAGTTTACACACACACACACACACACACACACACACACACACACACACACACACACACACACACACACACACACAGCACTGATGTGACTGAAGAAAGAAGAAGCTGTAAAGAAGTTCAGAAACAAAGGGTCAGTCTGTCCTCACAAAGCTTTAAAGTTCAAACAGTTTGACCTTTGATCTCTTTAAGGCTGAACTCTGACTTGAATCTCTGTTCTTAGGAAATTAAACAGTGTTTTGTCTTTGACACAGTTTTATATTTCAATAACTCATCATATTTTAAGGGTTACAGATCCTGTACATATATATATATATTTTATATTATATAGACTTTCTAGTTAAGTTAAGTCAGTTCACTAACTCTACCTCTAGGGGGTGCTACCAGGACTTATTACTGCTTTTGTGAACCATTTCTGCTCTGTCTCTCTGCGGACTAGGAGTATTTACATATCACTGTGTTATAGTTGTTAGATTTTCATTGCCGTTAACATTTTGAAGTGTTTTTTCTGTCTCTGAACAGATACGCGTTCACTGCCGTCTACACGTTGGAGACCATCATAAAGGTTTTGTCCAGAGGCTTCTGTGTGGGGAAGTTCAGCTTCCTCAGAGACCCCTGGAACTGGCTGGACATAATGGTCATCAGCATGGCGTAATAATCAATAATACATCTGATAGACACTAATCCATCACACTGATGCTTTCTAAATCTTCAAATAATGACATATACAGAGACAGCTCTGATTAAAGTTAATAATGACCTTTTGATTGCTTCAGACAATGGACTTGTCTCTGTACTTGTATTATTAGATCTTAGTGCTGCATTTGACACCATTGACCATGATATTCTTTTACAGAGACTTGAGCAATTGGGATTAAAGGAAACCGCACTAAACTGGTTTAAGTCATACTTATCAGATCGTTCTCAGTTTGTACACGTTAACGATGAATCCTCCATAAATACTACAGTTATTCATGGAGTTCCACAAGATTCTGTACTTGGACCAATACTATTCACTTTATATATGCTTCCCTTTGGCAATATTATTAGGAATCACTCCATTAACTTTCACTGTTATGCAAATGATACCCAGTTATATCTATCAATCAAGCCTGATGAAATTAATCAGTTATCTAAACTACAAGCATGTCTTAGGGACATAAAAACCTGGATGAGCTGCAATTTTCTGAAGTTCTTGTACTTGGGCCCAAACACCATCAAACAGAAACAAACTCATACACTCATTCATACTCCGACTGGGGTTCAGTATTTTGCTCAAGGACACTTCAACATGCAGTGGGAAGAGCTGGGGATCGAACCACCAACCTTCTGATTAGTGGACGACCTGCTCTACCTCCTGAGATACAACCACAAGATGATGAGGATGAAGATGTCTGTTTGTGTGTTTCAGATTTCTGACAGAGTTTGTTTATTTGGGGAAATATTCTGTGCTGAGTTCAGTTCCTCGAGTGCTAAAGATCATCACAGTGATGCCAGGTCAGTGTGTGTTACTGTGTGAGTTACTGTGTCTGTTTATGCAGTCAGTCAGTTTTTAAGCCCCCCGCCCTTCTCTCTCAGCTCTGAAGACCACTGTGGGAGCTGTCGTCCAATCAGTGAAGAGGCTTGCTGATGTGTGCATCCTGGCGGCGTTCTGTCTCAGTATCCTCGCTCTGATTGGTCAGCAGCTATTTATGGGAGTTCTGAAGCAGAAATGTATCAGGTTTATGCTTCCCAACCTGACCGACATTGGCGCCACTGCTGGTTACCATGACGAGACAGGAGTCAACCATTTCAGTTTCAGCGAGCACGTAAATGACATCAGTATGTAAAAACACTACTGTTGTACTGTAGGTAAATACTATTGTAGTGCTGTAGTACTGAAGTTAATACTACTGTAGTACTGTAGGTAAATACTGCTGTAGTGCTGTAGTACTGTAGGTAATACTACTGTAGTACTGTAGGTAAAGCTACTGTAGTACTGTTGGTAAATACTACTGTAGTACTGTAGGTAATACTACTGTAGTACTGTAGGTAAAACTACTGTAGTACTGTAGGTAAAACTACTGTAGTACTGTTGGTAAATACTACTGTAGTACTGTAGTACTATAGGTAATACTACTGTAGTACTGTAGGTAAAACTACTGTAGTACTGTAGGTAAAACTACTGTAGTACTGTTGGTAAATACTACTGTAGTACTGTAGTACTATAGGTAATACTACTGTAGTATTGTAGTACTGTAGATGTCTAGAGGGACAAAACCTGCTTAAATAGGATCAATAATCAATATAAAAAAGTACAAAAAAAGATCAATCATAAATGTAAGATATTAACAATAAAGTTCAATAATCAATGCAAAATCTGTGTCTGTCTGTCTGTCTGTCTGTCTGTCTGTCTGTCTGTCTGTCTGACACTCTGCTAGAGAACCAGTACTTCCTGCCGGATGAACTTAATCCTCTACTGTGTGGAAACACCTCTGATGCCCAGTACGTTTACATGATAAACAACTAATTAAAAAGAACAACGGTAACAACAGTAACAACAGTAACAACAATAACAACAACAGTACCACTAACAACAGCAATGACAATAATAACAACAACAACAACAACACTAATAACAATAACAACAACAATAACACAAATCAAACATACATATATTTATATTATTATTCTTATCATCATCATCAGTCAAAGATAAGATGTTCCTTTATTGATCCCCTGTAGGAGATTATTTTTTATTTTATTTTTAATTTTTTAAGATTAAAAAAGTCATTTCTATTAGTATAGTTGTTGCTATTGTTGTTGTTGTTTACCTATGTCTCTGTCTCTGTCCTACTCTCTTTACCCCCCCATCCCAACCCTTATAACTACAATAATAACTGATGATATCTGATACAACTACCTACTACCACTAATAATAATAATTATAATAATAATAATAATAATAATAATCTGATGCTGTGTTCAGGGTCTGTCCAGAAGGTTACTCCTGTCTGAAGGGCAGGAGTAACCCGGACTACGGCTACAGCAGCTACGACTCAATTGGTTGGTCTCTGCTGGCTCTCTTCAGACTGATGACTCGGGACTGGGAAGACCTGGTCCTGAAGGTCAGCACCAGGTCCCAGTACACATACTGCTTTAACTAGTTTAACTGGGTTCTCTGATGATATCTGGAATCACTTTAAATAACAACCTGTCTGTCTCTTTCCTGCCTGTCTGTCTGCAGACGTTACAAGCAGCAGGTAAGAGCTCTCTGGCATTCTTCGTTCTCCTCTCGTTCCCCACCTGTTTCTGCATCCTCAGCCTCTCTGTGGCGGTGGTTGCCATGGCAACCGGTGAGCAGGAGGAGGGTGCCGCTGCCGAAGCCAGACAGAAAGAAGAGGAGTTAGGTCAGATTGTGGAGGCGCTGCGGAGGAGAGAGGAAGAGGAGGTGAGCCTTCCTGTTGTTCAGTGTTAATGTAACTGCTGGACTTAGTTTTTAAAACTGTGTGTGTTGTAATTACAGCAGGCAAACTGTGGGGCGGCGCTCTCTTACGACCAGAAACACACTGAAGGTACACAGAAGTCCTGTTCTCCCTGCTGGGGGATCTTCGTAGACCTCTTCCTGAAGTGTGACTGTTGTGGCTGCTGGCGGGGGCTCAAACAGCGTCTCTACACTGTCGTCATGAACCCGTTCTTCGACCTTGGGATCGTTATCTGTCTTGTCCTCAACACCGTCGTCATGGCAATGGAACATTTCCCAATGGCGATGGAATTCGAGCTGCTACTGTCTGTCACTCAACTGGTGAGTGTTAATAAAGTTTGATTCAAACAGGAAACTCTTCATATGGGCTGTTTACATTGTGGTCTGATGGATGGGACACTGCCCCCCAGTGGAAAGTGTTATAAAGCAGATTGCTATAGCAACAGTCGGTTCATTTCATTTAGTTTATTTACACAATAATACACATATACTGTATACAGTGCAGGTGACCTCTGACCACTGTTTGTCTACTGTCTCCTTACTGACCTCTGACCTCTCTCAGGTCTTCACTGCCATCTTCACAGCTGAGCTGGTCCTGAGACTCGTGGCCATGGACCCGTACGGTTTCTTCCAGGTCAGCAGCTAACAGATGATGACTGTTGCCATGTTAACATGACGGTTCCTATGGTAACCTGTGTGTGTGTGTGTGTGTGTGTGTGTGTGTGTTTGTGTGTGTGTGTGTGGGTGTGTGTGTGGCTGTTGTGTTGCCACGGTTACAGGTGGGCTGGAACATCTTTGACAGCATCATCGTCGCCCTCAATCTGCTGTATCTGTCTGTGGAGAATTTCACACGCTACTTCTTGTTGGTCAGTGTGACATCATCACCGTCATCATCATCATCATCATCATCATCGCGAACATTACCAAATACTCACTGTCTATCTACCTGTCTATCTCCTTATCTCCTGTTCAGATGCGGGTCTTCAGACTGGCCCGGTGGTGGCCCTCCTTCCATTTGATGCTGAAGACCATCTGGACCACTGTCCGGGCTCTGAGGAACCCGACTCTCCTGCTGGTGATCATGGTCTTTGTGTTCTCTGTGGTCGGCATGCAAGTGTTCCAGAAGGACTACGAAGACCACGTCCAAATCTGTCATATTGCAGCGGACTGCAAGCTTCCTCGTTGGCACTTGAACGACTTCTTCAACTCCTTCCTCGTCATCGTCAAGGTCCTGTGTGGGGACTGGATCGAGACCACGTGGAACTGCATGGAGGTCTCAAGTCAGACCACGTGTCTGGTCTTCTTCATAATGGTCCTGGTTATCGGAAACCTGCTGGTGAGTCTATAACGTGACCCTCGTTCTTCACTAATCATCCAGAGTCCAGCATGGCAGCTACAACCAATCCAGGTCTAGGGTCAGAGGTTGGGGGTATAAGTACAGGTTCTAAGTCTATTCCTGGTCTTGTTTCAGGTCCTGAATTTGTTCGTGGTCTTGTTGCTGACCTCGTTTAGTGATGGTCTAGAGGTCCCAGGAGAAACCAAGAACAACCTGCAGACCGCCATGAGCCGGATAAACAAGAGCTGGATCCTGGACCATTTCTGGACTGTTCTTGGAAAGAAGAACCATGTCAACCCAGACCACACAGGTAGGACCAGACCAGGACCCAGTGTGGACTTTATTTATTGATTATTTAATCAATTTATTGAGTTTTCCTTGTTAGTGGTCAAGGGTCAGGAGGACAACGGGAAGGACTACCTGGCTTTGACCTGTGTCACTTCAGAGGTCAGCGGTAACCATGGCAACCAGATCAGCAACACCGGACTCGGGAAGGTCCCCATCACCACGGCCGAGATCCAGATCGAATCACAGACACCTGAAAATGAAGAGAAAAAAGTAAGATAAACTGTAGCGTGTTTGAGCAGAACTACAAATATTAGATTTTGTAGTATTACTTTTTTATCTGATAGTAATGTCGTAGTCTGAAGAGTGAACAACATAAACAACAGTAAATAAATACATTTTTAGTATCTTAAAGCTCATGTATGTAAAAAATCATGTGTAGCTAACAGCGCCACCAGTGGCCGTTCATTAAACTGTAGTTAACAGCGCCACCAGTGGCCGTTCATTAAACTGTAGTTAACAGCGCCACCAGTGGCCGTTCATTAAACTGTACCTAACAGCGCCACCAGTCGTCGTTCAGTGAACTGTAGTTAACAGCGCCATCAGTGGTCGTTCAGTGAACTGCAGTCAGTAATTTTATATTTAAGGCTGACTTTGCTTACAGTTGGTGAGTCAGAATAATAATAATAATAATAATAATAATAATAATAATGATAAACTTTGTGTAAAGTCTGTCGATATATTTGTTCAGTGTGACGACATGCAGAAACATCCTGAAGTCCAGCAGGACGAACACGATGAAGATGATAAAGGAAACACCCCTGAGGACTGCTGCAGTGACAGTACGAGTCTTTCTGATGAAGAACAGGAGCCAATCAATGATCAATAACACCTCTGATCAGTCTCCACCTGTATATTTCAGAGTGTTACCAATGCTGTCCGTTCCTGAACATAGACACGTCCCAGGGCGGAGGGAGGATCTGGTCTAACTTCAGGAAAGCCTGTTTCTTCATCATACAACACAAATACTTTTACATATTCATCATCCTCATCATCCTGCTAAGCAGTGCATTTCTGGTAAACAACAACAACAACAACAACAACAACTAACTGTTATGTTAACATTACCTTACTTAAGATGTATGTATGTTAGACTATATAAATATGTCTTTCATCTTTTAACCTTCTTCAAAATGTTGTCTTTCCAACATCGATTAGCCTAGTATATAGTCCCACGCGAACAAAAAGCCAATAAGAGCAATTATTAAATGTAATCAATCAATGTAGAGAGTTTACTCACACCCTCCAGACAGCGACCAACAGATTACAGAGAAGGTTTTATTCCGTAGATCAGTGTTTCCCAACCTGAGGGTCAGGACCCCCACTAGGGGTCGCCAAAGCTACACGGGGGTTGCAAGACCTTCTTGATTTTATATATATATATTTCATTTACAGATAATAATTCATCCAAATTCTGATTAAATGAATGAAATTCCATCAACGGTTATCAGTGGCTCTCCAAGTTCAGGGACTTCTGTCAATGTAAACTTAGATGTATATTTAGACTGTTTTTCTGCTATCGATCTTCATCAGTTAACTTCAATCATTTCTTCATCGAAGCCATCAACCTGTCTGTTAGACCCGATCCCAACTAGGCTGCTTAAAGAAGTTGTTCCCTTAATTGGCACTTCTTTACTGGATATGATTAATCTTTCTTTATTATCAGGATATGTACCACAGTCCTTTAAAGTAGCTGTAATTAAACCCCTTCTTAAAAAGTCTACTCTTGACCCAGGGGTTTTAGCCAACTATAGACCGATTTCTAACCTCCCGTTCCTCTCTAAGATTCTGGAGAAAGTAGTCGCCAAAGAGTTGTGTGACTTTCTACATAACAATAGTTTATTTGAGGATTTTCAGTCAGGATTTAGAGTTCATCACAGCACAGAGACAGCTCTGGTTAAAGTTAATAATGACCTTCTGACTGCTTCTGACAATGGACTTGTCTCTGTACTTGTATTATTAGATCTTAGTGCTGCATTTGACACCATTGACCATGATATTCTTTTACAGAGACTTGAGCATCAAATTGGCATTAAAGGAACTGCCCTAACCTGGTTTAAGTCATACTTATCAGATCGTTCTCAGTTTGTACATGTTAACGATGAATCCTCCATAAATACTAAAGTTAGTCATGGAGTTCCACAAGGTTCTGTACTTGGACCAATACTATTTACTTTATATATGCTCCCTTTAGGCAACATTATTAGGAATCACTCCATTAACTTTCACTGTTATGCAGATGATACGCAGTTATATCTATCAATCAAACCCGATGAAATTAATCAATTATCTAAATTACAAACTTGTCTTAAGGACATAAAATCCTGGATGACCTGCAATTTTCTGATGTTAAACTCAGAAAAAACCGAAATTCTTGTTCTTGGCCCCAAAAACCTTAGAGACTCATTGTCTAAAGATATAGTCACTCTAGATGGCATTAACTTGGCCTCTAGCATCACTGTCAGGAATCTGGGAGTTATCTTTGATCAGGATTTGTCATTTAACTCCCACATAAAGCAGACCTCTAGGACTGCCTTCTTTCATTTACGTAATATTAGAAAAATTAGACACATCCTATCACAGACAGATGCAGAAAAACTAATCCATGCATTTGTTACTTCAAGGCTGGATTACTGCAACTCTTTATTATCAGGTTGCCCCAATAAGTCCATTAAAACGCTCCAATTAATTCAGAACGCTGCAGCACGAGTACTGACAGGAACTAGAAAAAGAGATCACATCTCTCCTGTACTAGCTTCTCTGCATTGGCTCCCTATAAAATGTAGAATTGAATTTAAAATACTCCTCCTCACCTATAAAGCTCTTCATGGTCAGGCCCCTTCATATCTTAAAGAGCTCATAGTACCCTATTACCCCACTAGAACACTACGTTCTCTGAATGCTGGGCTACTTGTGGTTCCTATAGTCTCTAAAAGTAGAACAGGAGCCAGAGCCTTCAGTTACCAAGCTCCTCTCCTGTGGAACCAGCTTCCAGTTGTGGTTCGGGAGGCAGACACCCTCACCACATTCAAGAGTAGGCTTAAGACATTCCTCTTTGATAAAGCTTATAGTTAGGGCTGGATCAGGTGAGTCCTGAACCATCCCTTAGTTATGCTGCTATAGGCCTAGACTATCGGGGGATTTCCCATGGTGCACTGAGCTACTCTCTTCCTCTCTCTTTCTGCACTCATTCATGTCCCTTTAATGCATGTTACTAACTCCACTTCTTCCCCGGAGTTCTTGTGCTTTCTCGTCTCGCAGGTTCTCATGGATCCTGGTGGAGCCTCCTGCCATGGTCCTGCTTGACTGCCATTGCCAATACTGTTGTTGCTGTGCACCTGTCTGTCTGTCTGTCTGTCTGTCTGTCTCTCTCTCTCTCTCTCTCTCTCTCTCTCTCTCTCTCTCTCTCTCTCTCTCTCACTCACCCCAACTGGTCGAGACAGACGACCACCCACCTAGAGCCGGAGGATCTGTCCTAGGTTTCTGCCTTTTAACAGGCAGTTTTTCCTTGCCCTTGTCGCCAAGTGCTTGCTCATGGTGGTACTGTTGGGTCTCTGTAATTAATGTTAAAGAGTTCGGTCTAGACCTGCTCTATTTGAAAAGTGTCCTGAGATAACTTCTGTTATGAATTGGCGCTATACAAATAAAATTGAATTGAATTGAATTGAATTGAATTGATTTCACACAGACTTCCTACAATTATTGGGTCCATTGTATCTGTTGTTCTATAATGTTATTGGTATTGATCAATAGAATATGAAATAAACTGTAAATATAGTCAGTTGACCTGTGCAGGTGTTAACAGGACTGTGTATGTGAACAGGCGTTTGAAGACGTTTATCTGCCGCATCGTCTGGTCTTAAAGAGGGTTGTGGAGACAGCAGACCAGCTGTTCACCTGCCTGTTCCTGCTGGAGATGCTTCTCAAGTGGACCGCCTTAGGACTCAAGAAGTACTTCAGTGACGCCTGGTGCTGGCTTGACTTCCTCATCTTGGACGTAAGATCAATAACAGTGATTATTGGTAATATACTGATGACTAACATCAGTCTATGATATATCTACATGGTGACCTCAAGGTAAATATGCAGGTAACCATAGCAGCAGGACTGAACAGCTTAAGGATATCTGTTTTCCCCTGTTTCCAGTATGCTAAGCTAAGCAAACAGGCTGTATCAGCAGATGTGTTGTGTCTTCCAGGTGTTTTTGGTGTCTATGATGGCCGACATGTTGGGATTCTCTGGACTAAGAGCCATCCAGTCTCTGAGGACTCTGAGAGCTCTGGGGCCCCTGAGGGCTGTGTCTCGCTTCCAGGGCCCAAGGGTGAGACGTGCACTTTGAACATAAACATGTCTCTCTCTACCTATCTCTCTGTCTGTCTCCACCTGTCTCTCACTTTCTCTACCTGTCTCTCTGTCTCTCTTCCAGGTGGTGGTGCAGGTTCTGGTGCGGTCCATCCCGGCTCTGTTTGACTGGCTGTTGGTGTCTGTGACTGTCTGGTTGATCTTCAGCATTCTGGGTGTGAATCTGTTTGCTGGAAAGTTTTATCACTGTTTCAATGAGAAGACAGGACAAAGGTTCTTACCTGAGCAGGTGAACAACCACAGCCAGTGTCTCTTTCTGATGGTGGAAAACGACACTGAGGTCGACTGGAGGAACATGAGGTTAAACTACGACAATGTGGCCAACGGTTACCTGTCTCTGCTGCACCTGGTCAGTCTGAACACTGAACAAAATGGCTTCCTTCCTCTCAGACATGATACACATATTCTCATATTTATTCTCATGAAATTAATCTTCAACTTAGTGTGAATCATAATTCAAACCTCCATAACTGATGTTTACCATTAAACCTTCTTCAGAGTTTATATGAGAGTTTAGCTGCAGCCTGATAACAGCTGATATTAGAACACAACCTTAAATTCAGTCTTTTTCTCTGTCAGGTGTCATCAGCCGACTGGGTAGATATCATATATTCAGCTTGGGACGCCACACACGTAAGTAGGTTTACTGGCACTGATAGAGGTACTGGTACTGGTACTGGTACTGATAGAGCTACTGGTAATAATACTGATAGAGGTACTGGTACTGGTACTGATACTGATACTGATAGAGGTACTGGTACTGATACTGATAGAGGTACTGGTACTGGCACTGACACTGATAGAGGTACTGGTACTATTACTGATAGAGGTACTGGTACTGGCATTGATAGAGGTACTGATACTGATAGAGATACTGGTACTAGCACTGATAGAGGTACTGGTACTGATACTGATAGAGGTACTGGTACTGATACTAATACTAATACTGATAGAGGTACTGGTACTGATACTGATAGAGGTACTGGTACTGATACTAATACTAATACTGATAGAGGTACTGGTACTGGCACTGATATAGGTAGTGGTACTGATACTGACAGAGGTACTGGTACTGGCACTGATACTGATGATTTGTGTGTGTGTGTGTGTGTGTGTGTGTGTGTGTGTGTGTGTGTGTGTGTGTGTGTGTGTGTGTGCAGGTGGAGTCTCAGCCGGTCTTCGACTCCAACCGGTACAGGATTCTTTACTTCATCTCTTTCTTCATCATTGGTTCCTTCTTCACCTTCAATTATTTCATCAGAGTCATCGTCAACAACCTGTTGAAAGAGAAGATAAGTTTCTACACTCACTGAACCACAGACAGCTGAGAGACAGAGAGACAGTTGAGAGACAAACAGGCTGAGAGACAGACAGGCTAAGAGACAGACAGGCTGAGTGACAGACAGCTGAACCACAGATAGCTGAGAGAAAGACAGACAGCCGAGAGACAGACAGGCTGAGAGACGGACAGTTCAGAGACAGACAGACAGTTCAGAGGCAGACAGACAGTTCAGAGACGGACAGCTTCTGATTTGATACCAATTGATCCTGGATTGTCTTTATATTTAATGCTCTTTGTTTTTGTCTTTATATTTAATGCTCTTTGTTTTGTCTTTATATTTAATGCTCTTTGTTTTTGTATTTACGTTGGACAGAAACACATTTTCATGACAGAAGAGCAGCAGAAATATTCTAAAACTATAAAGAATCTGTTCTCCAAGAAATCTCCGGTCCCCTGTCCTCAGGTGTGTCAACCACATAGTAAATACAGGTAGTTAGGGTTGAGGTTGAGCCAGAGGTCAGACCCAGAATTAACTCCAATAATCCCAGAATAAACTCAGATCATTTGATAATATTTTGATAATATTTTGATAATAATGTGATAATGGTTTAATAAGAATGTAATAATATTTTGTTTGTTATTTGATAATAATGTGATAATATGTTGATAATGATTTGATTATAATGTGATAATATGTTGATAATGATTTGATAATAATGTAATAACATTTGGATAATAATTAGATAATATTCTGATAATAATTTGATGATATTTTGATAATGTGATAATAATTAGATAATAATGTGATAATATTTTTATAGTAAGTAGATAATAATTTGATAATAATGTGATAATAATTTGATAATAATGTGATACTATTTTTATAGTAATTAGATAATAATTTGATAATAATGTGATAACAATTGATAATATTTTGATAATGTGATAATAATGTGATAATATTAGATAATAATGTGATAATATTTTGATATTAATTATATAATATTTTGATAATAATTAGATAATAATGAGATCATATTTTGATAACAATTTGATAATATGTTCATAATAATGTGATATATTTTAAAATAATGTGATAATAATTTGATGATATTTTGATAAATAAATAATATAATAAACCCAGAATACAGTCTCATTACGTCCTCTCTGTCTCAGAATCAGTGCCAGGCTCTGCTCTTTGACCTGGTGACCCGGCCGTGTTTTGAGGTGGTCATGGTGGTGTTGATCTGCCTGAACATGGTGGCGATCATGGTGGAAACAGACGAGCTGAGCGTGCAGAAAGCTGAGGTCCTGTCCTGGATTCATTTCGTGTTCATAATCATCTTCTTTCTCGAGTTCATTCTAAAGATCATCGCACTCAGACGGTACTACTTCAGCGACTGCCGCAACGTCATCGACTTTGTGATTCTCATCTTGTTAATCATGTGTAAGTTTTCATTGGGCAGAATGAGACTGTTAGAGCTTAAAGAGCAACTTCACTCCAGTGGCCTCCAGTGGTTGGGCTTGGACTGGCTTGTTCTATCGGGGTGGAGATTCAAGGTCTGTTTGTTCATCTAGAGAAAATGAACTGCCAACATTGTGCTGTTAGTTTCAGGTATTTTTAAAAGAAAAGTCAGCATGAGGGGAATTTAAAAGACATTCGTACAATATGTCATTGATCATGTTTAATCACTGTATGATGATGCAATAAATGTATTAGCTATCAGCAGCTCCAACTATCACTGGATTACATGATCATTCTCTTTCTCTCTCTTCAGGCCTATTCATCGCTGACATCTACGAAAATTATATTTTCTCGCCCCTTCTCTTACCTGTTTTCCGATTGGCTCGTATTGGTCGGATCCTCCATCTCATTCCCTGTGCTACGGGTATCCGGAAGCTGTTTTTGGCCTTTATGATGTCACTTCCTGCTCTCGTCAACTTTGCCCTCCTTATCTTACTCATCATGTTTACCTTTTCCATCTTTGGCATGTTTAACTTTGCCTATGTGAAGAAGGAGCACATGATCAACCAAATGTTTAACTTCCAAACGTTTGGGAACAGCATGATCTGTTTGTTCATGACCTCTGCTGGACTGTTGAGTCCCATCATGAGCATTCCCCGAGACTGTGACTCTGACATGGAGAACCCGGGATCCACAGTCAGAGGGGACTGTGGCAGCCCTGTGGTGGGTGTCGTCTTCTTCACCACCTACATCTGCTTGTCCTTCCTGCTAGTGGTCCACCTGTACATCGCCGTCGTCATGGCAACCTTCAACTCAGAGGACGCCGAGGCACTGTGCGACGACGAACTCCAGATGTTTTATAAAACCTGGAGGAGGTTCGACCCTGACGCCTCCCAGTTCATCCAGTACAGGTGAGTCGAAACTGTATGTATGTTTGTCTGTCTGTATATCTGTGTCTGTCTGTCTGTCTCCCAGGTAACCATTACAATAATAAACTGAGTAGAAGAAGAATAAATTAATTATTAAGTCTCCAGTCTAATAACAATAATTATTTACCAGACAATAATAACATAATAATAATAATAATAATAATAATAATAATAATAGTTGTAAACTTATGATTGTGTATTAATTAGTCAAGATTAGATGCCAGAAGCGGACCCATGGCAGTCTGTTAGGGTGCGGGCCGACTTGTAGGACCCAATTGGACCGGTTCTGTTGGGTCTGGGTCAGGTGCTGTTTGACATGGGAAGAGTCTAATCTGAAGTCTTTAGTTTGTTTTGGTACAGACATGTTTGTCCACCTTCATTGGCAGCAAGGAGGAGACGGTTGGAAGTGGGGCGGTTTGTAATGTGGTCTCTAGTGGACTCCAATGGACTGTACTGTGTTCCACAGCCAGCTGTCAGACTTCTGTGACACCCTGAAGGATCCTCTGAGGATTCCCAAACCAAACACCATCAAACTGATCCACATGGACCTGCCTCTGTTTCCTGGAGACCAGATCCACTGTATGGACGTCTTTCTTTCACTTGCCACACAGGTAACATCCCCTCACATATTGTTGTTGTTGTTCAATTCAGTTCAGTTCAATTCAGTTGTATTTGTATAGCACCAAATCATAACAGAAGTTATCTCAGGACACTTTTTAAATAGAGCAGGTCTAGACCAAACTCCTTATAACATTATTTACAGAGACCCAACAGTTCCCACCATGAGCAAGACCTTGGAGGCAGCGGCAAGGAAAAACATTCTTTTAAGAGGCAAAAACCTCGGACAGACCCCGACTCTAGGTGGGTGGTCGCAGGGACGTAATTTGGGAGGGGGGGGGGACACAAGGGACATGTCCCCTGCACTTTTTCAAAAGGCCGTTTTGGTCCCCTGCAGTTTTTACCGTCCAAAAACAATGTTACGCTGTAGTAAACAGAGACACATCAAGCACTGGGACCAAGCGGAAAACGGCCGATCAAGCTGAAGCCTGTTTCCCTTAGTTTAGACCACCCACAAGCTCCTCGATTGGCTCTGCCATTTCTTGTGAGATTGGCCATCCCCGCTGTCACTCCATCTTGCTTGCACACCGGTCTGCTAGTTGAAAGACCTGGCTTCGCAACAGCATGAAGCAGAAACGCCTGAACAATGTGGCAGTTTGTCACATACACCAAGAAAGGGTTGATGCCTTGGACAGGAAGAAACTCTGCCAGGAATTTATCTCTGCCAATGATCGATGTTGGAAGCTTTGGATGAGTTGATTATGTTGACCCTTCTGTGGTCTTTGGGTCAAATTGACCCTTCACTTTTCATTTACATCACAAATAGGATTTTCTTCCATATAACTGCCTAAAAATGACAGTGGTTCTCTGTTACACTCATTTCAAATAAAATTGATTACTTGACTACTTACACTGATTTATGGACATTTTATTCAATTTCTCCCCACCTGTGATATTCCTGCCAGTTTGACCTGCCCACCACTGGGTGGTGCTATGTAAATGAGGTCTGTTTACCATATATTCCACAAATAAGTGTAAAATTGGTGGTACTGAGTTGGAGTGAAGTTGACTAACAAGGTGAAACACAGAATTGGGTGATAATGATTTGCTACATGCTTTACAACCAGTCAAACCAAAAAAGGAACAGTACAGTAGCAAGAGAAAACTAGAAGACCTCTAGAAAAACACAGTGAACTGAAATAGTTAGAGTTGTATCCCCCCCACCTCTGAAATCAAAATTTCGTCCTTGGGTGGTCGTCTACCTCAATCAGTTGGAGTTGTAGCAAGAGACAGAGAGAGAAAGAGACAGAGAGAGAGAAAGAGAGAGAGAGAGAGAGAGAGAGAGGGTGCACAGCAACAACAGTAGCAACAACTATACTAATAGAAGTGACTGATGATGATGATGATGATGAACATGAAGAAGACGATGGCAATGAAAACAACGATGGGGGACAATGAGCAGTGACAATAGTAATAATAGTAACTGTAATAATAATAATAGTTATAATAATAATAACAATAATATCAGTGATATTAGCAATGGCAGTCAAGCAGGACCATGGCAGGAGGCTCCACCAGGATCCATGAGAACCTGCGAGACGAGAAAGCACAAGAACTCCGGGGAAGAAGTGAAGCTAGTAACATGCATTATGGGACATGAATGAGTGCAGAAAGAGAGAGAGAGGAAGAGAGGAGCTCAGTGCATCATGGAAAATTCCCCAATAGTCTAGGCCTAGAGCAGCTTAACTCTGGGATGGTTCAGAACTCACCTGATCCAGCCCTAACTATAAGCTTTATCAAAGAGGAATGTCTTAAGCCTACTCTTGAATGTGGAGAGGGTGTCTGCCTCCCGAACCACACCAGGAAGCTGGTTCCACAGGAGAGGAGCTTGGTAACTGAAGGCTCTGGCTCCTGTTCTACTTTTAGAGACTAAAGAGGAGGCTACAGGAGAGATATGATCTCTTTTCCTAGTTCCTGTCAGTACTCGTGCTGAAGTGTTCTGAATTAATTGGAGCGTCTTAATGGATTTATTGGGGCAGCCTGATAATAAAGAGTTGCAGTAATCCAGCCTAGAAGTAACAAATGCATGGATTAGTTTTTCTGCATCTGTCTGTGACAGGATGTGTCTAATTTTTGTAATATTATGTAAATGAAAGAAGGCAGTCCTAGAGGTCTGCTTTATGTGGGAATTAAATGACAAATCCCTTATAAAAGATTCCTGACCATGGTGCTAGAGGCCAAGGTAATACCATCTAGAGTAACTATATCTTTAGACAGTGAGTCTCTAAGGTTTTTGGGGCCAAGTACAAGAATTTCGTTTTTTTCTGAGTTTGAAATTTGCCGCTCATCCAGGTTTTTATGTCCTTAAGACATATTTGGAATTTAGATAATTAATAATTTCATCGGGCTTGATCGATAGATATAACTGTGTATCATCTGCATAACAATGAAAGTTACTGGAGTGATTCCTAATAATATTGCCTAAGGGAAGCATATATAAAGTGAATAGAATTGGTCCAAGTACAGAACCTTGTGGAAATGATAAATGGACCTAAACTTGTATTCAATTCAATTTTATTTGTATAGCGCCAATTCATAACAGCAGTTATCTCAGGACACTTTTCAAATAGAGTAGGTCTAGACCGAACTCTTTAAAACATTATTTACACATTACATTATCCACCATGAGCAAGCACTTGGCGACAAGGGCAAGGAAAAACTGCCTGTTAAAAGGCAGAAACCTAGGACAGATCCTTCGGCTCTAGGTGGGTGGTCGTCTGTCTCGACCAGTTGGGGTGAAAGAGAGAGAGAGAGACAGAGAGAAACAGAGAGAGAGAGACAGACAGACAGACAGGTTCCCAGCAACAACAGTATTGGCAATGGCAATCTAGCAGGACCATGGCAGGAGGCTCCACCAGGATCGATAAGAACCTGCGTGTATAGCGCCTTTCTAGTCTTCCAACCACTCAAAGCGCTTTTTACGTGCCACATTCACCCTTTCACACACATTCACACAGCGATGGCAAAGTCCATCGAACAGAAACTAACATTCATACGCATTCACACAGCAATTTGGGGTTCAGTATCTTGCTCAAGGATACTTAGACATGTGGCACCAGGAGCGGGGATCGAACCCACAACCTTCCAATTAAGGAATGACCCGATCTAATAATACAAGTACAGAGACAAGTCCTTACAATAAAGAAAAACTGATCATATCCAGTAAAGAAGTGCCAACTAAGGGTATGACTTCTTTAAGCAGCAGTGTTGTTTCACTCTGTATGTGTGCAGGTGGTGGATGATTCAGGACAGATGGACTCTTTCAAAACCAGAATGGAGGAAAAGTTCATCGCCAACTCGTCCAAGGTTTTATATTCTATTATATCATGTTATATTATATCATATTATATCACATTGTATTATATTATATTGTATTACATTATATTATATTATATCATGTTATATTATATCATGTTATATTATATTATACTATATTATATTATATCATGAGAGAAGATCTGATTAGTTATCAGCATGTATCATCCATCAAATAATCGAGTATTGTAACCTCCAGGTGTCCTGTGAACCAATCAGCAGCACCCTGTGGAGGAAACGGGAAGAGGTGGCGGCGACGGTGATCCAGAGAGCGTACAGGAAGGGCCTCCTGCAGCACAGAGACACCACGGTGACGGTGGTAGAGTCTGTGAACAGTGGCGGCGCTGTTTCAGGCTCCTCCCACCCAGAGTGAGGTTTTCCTTCACAACTTCCTGCCAGATGAGAACCTGAGGGAGTCTATCATCTGATGACGTGTTTCTCCTCAGTGCCGAGGGGACTCACCTGTGGACGGACAGAGTCCGCTGCACATCGCTCTTCTTCTGGCTTTGAACATTTTATTATCTTTGTTGAGCCTTGCTCACTCACCAAAACGGTCCAAATAAATGTTATACAAGTACTAATGCAGTTTATTATTAACACTTATATACCAAAAGCACCATTTCAAGAGTCTCTTATCAGATCAGATTTCAGTTATTCTCAGTCCAGAAGGGGCGCTGACTCCTTCCTGGATGTATTTACACTCAGCTGTTTAGAGATCAGATATCTGATCAACAAAAGATGCACAGGGGCCGATCTAGAGGAATATTGATGGGGTGTCCAAAGGGTGATAGATATTTGAACTCACAAACATTCTGGTGGCGCATTGAATATTGATGTGTAAAGGTGGCATTAGAGATGAATCTATCAATCATAATCAATTCTTTTATGTCTTTTATCATTGAACTTAAAGGGTTCCACCCCTCTAAAGCTGTTTGGTCTCATGGAGTCTGCTAATGGCTCTGAGAGATAAACTGCTAATGTGGCCAATAACAACCTAAAGACAAAACTGTTTCATTTGTTAGACAAAGTTTGTAAAACAGCAGCAAATAAAAACTCATGTCAGTCAGCAGCGCTACTAACGCACAATATTCTAATTAATATTATTAATACTAACTGTATTATGGAAATATTACGACTTTATTCTGCAAATATTATCACTTAACATCCCTTTTAACTACAATATAGAAATTAACATTAGCAATAAATGAGAGACTGGATAACACAAGGTCACATGATAAGTCATCAAATGGAGCGAAGCCTGTGAGGTAGTTCAGGCAGTCAACTCGAGCTGCGCTGATTACACACATGACATGCCTTATTCCACAATCACTAACGAAGCGTGCCCTTCCAATCTGGCGGTCTATTTAAACTGCACAATTTCCCAGCTCTCCCTCTGCTCTGTCAATGCCGCTGTTGCCCTGCATCTGTATTGCTGCCTGCTGCTCTGTAAGCCCCACCACCACCCCAGCATCCACCTGTAGGCTCCGGCTCAGGGTTTAAGGTATTTGCAGTTTTGCAGGTATCAGTCCCCCATATCTCCCATATATATGGAAACATATCTGCGGGGAATGATGAGGTCGGAGCCTAGACGCCAAAATCTAAATATGCTATACTGCTGTAATAAACATTTCAAATGTGAGTTGGCTGACTGAACTACTTTTATTGATCCTCAGGAAACTCTAAAATACCATTAACCTGAAAATATCTGAAACAGGACTTCATGTCCCTGTTGGACCTAAACTGGAGGAAACTGATATTAATGCTCATGCTTTTTATTGTATTTTGTTGTTATTGATGCTGTTTTAATGAAAATTAACAAATTAAACTAAATCAATAATAAATAAAAAGTTCCATACATTTCATGTTGTTTCATTTTTTATTTGATCCGATCTGGACCTCGAGAATTATTTTATTGTATAATATTGATTTATTATAATACATCTGTTGCATATCAGTGTATAATCAATATATTCCATATGAATCAATATGCACTGTCTTTTATATGAATCAATATGCTCTATATGAATCAATATGCTCTATGTGAATCAATATATTCTATATTAATCAATATATTCTATATGAATCAATATGCTCTATATTAATCAATATATTCTATATTAATCAATATATTCCATATTAATCAGGCTTCGCTCCATATATGAGAAATATTTTATTGCCATTAAGAGCTGCAGTAGTTTGTGTTGGCACTGACATTATTGATTATTGTAACTCAGGATTGGGGAGTAATGGAAATGGTAATCCATTATAGTTACAGAAAAAAGATGTAATCAGATTACAGTGGGGATTATTATTAAAATGAGTTTATAAATACTCACATTTTTATTTGCATATTTGATGATGAATAATCCAAAAGTAACAGAAAGTAATAAAGTTGCTTTAATACTGTGACACTCCCCCCTCCCTATGACCTCATTATTGAAGATCCTGGATCAGGAGCTGTCTGTCTGGAGAGCCGGACTGCGCATCCCGGAGCAGAGACTCTCTCTGGTTTATGTTCAGGTCCGATCACAGACTGAACCACACGAGTCCATCCTGATCCACCTAGAGTTTATCCTCCGCAGTCGGGACTGTGTGATCCGACCCGGGGGACTGTCCGTTAACCCGGTGAGTGTTCACATGAGGCTCCGGTCTGGCACGTGAGTCTCCACTGACAACCTGCAGAACAAAGTTCAGGCGCACCAGCCGCGTTTCCTGTGCAGAAATAAACATTTTCAGATCTCCTGTGCAGTTAAGAAGAGTCTCTTTAGTGAGTGTTTCAGGTCTGAGGTGGACACGGTGTGCGCGCTGTGGGATGCTGACACCTCCACCCCCCCTGTGTTCCTGACGCTCAGCCCCGCCCCTCCTGACGTCACTCAGGTGTTTTCTGAGTGTAGCAGACGTGCAGTGGTGACCGCAGCTCCTCAGTTCCAGCTGCCCAACTATCAAGTGTCGGTACCTGAAAACGAGCTGGTGGGAACGTGAATCATCACCCTGAAAGCTCTGGATGGAGACCTTGGAGCCACTGGCCAGGTGGTCTACGACCTGGAGGCTCTGTTCGACAGCCGGTCCAACAACTATTTCCAGATCGACCCGAACTCTGGCTGCGTCTCCACCCTGCAGCCCCTGGACCAGGAGGTCAAGGACACGCACATCTTCAGGGTCGTTGCCATATACAACGGCGCCCCCAGGAGGTCGACCACTGCATACCTGACCATCACCATTAGCGACACTAACGACCACGGGCCGGTGTTCGAGCAGACCGAGTACCGGGTTGACCTCAGGGAGAACGTGGAGGTGGGCTTTGAGGTGCTGACCGTCAGGGCTGCAGATGGAGATGCCCCATCCAACGCTAACATGATCTACAGGATTGAGCGAGGAGAATGCTGGAACATTCGAGATCAACCCCAGGACCGGGCTGGTCCAGATTACACAGCGGCCTGACAGGGAATGTGTTCATCTATGTGGAGGACGAGAACGACAACTACCCGCAGTTCATCCATAGACGCTGCATCGTCCAGGTGTTCGAGAGCATGATGGTGAACAGCAGGGTGACTCAGGTGGAAGCCACAGACCAGGACGAGGGCGACAAAGGTAGAGTCCACTACAGCATCATCAGTGGCAATGTCAGGGGCCAATTCTACATCCACTCCCTGACCGGCATCATCGACCTCATCAGCCCTCTGGACTATGAGACCATCAGGGAGTACAAACTGCGGGTCAAAGCTCAGGATGGAGGCCGCCCTCCACTCATGAACAGTACCGGGCTCGTAGTCATCAAGGTGGTGAATGTGAACGACAACGCCCCTATGTTCGTCAGCACGCCGCTCCAGGCATCTGTCCTGGAGAGCGTGGTCGTCGGTCACTCTGTGATCCACATCCAAGCCATCGACGCAGACTCTGGTAACAACTCTCACCTGGAGTACCGGCTGACGGACACAGTGCTGGGCTTCCCCTTTGCCATCAACAACAGCACTGGGTGGGTGACGGTCAGCGTGGAGCTCGACAGAGAGACCAAAGAGTTTTACACATTTGGGGTGGAAGCAGTGGATCATGGAGTTCCCACCATGTCATCCTCTGCCTCTGTCAGCGTGACCATCCTTGATGTGAATGATAATGTCCCCACATTTACTCAGACACTGTACAACGTTAAGATCAACGAGGATGCCGCTGTGGGAAAGAGCGTGCTGCTGCTGTCCGCCATCGACCGTGACGCAAACAGCATTGTGACCTACCAGATCTCCAGTGGAAACACCAGGAACAGGTTCTCCATCACCAGTCAGAGTGCTGGTGGTTTGATCACCTTGGCGTTGCCACTGGATTACAAGCAAGAGCGGCAGTATGTCTTGACAGTGGCGGCATCAGACGGCACACGGCAGGACGATACCTTCCCTGCAGGATCGATTGGGTCAGTGCCGTCCTGGGACCCTGATGTGACGGATAGGCTGAGGTTCAGTTTTTTGGAGGGAAACAAGCTAAAATTACTGATCCTGAATCCGGACAGCGGGGGGGAGCTGCAGCTTAGCAGGGACCTGGACAACAACAGACCTTTGGAGGCCTCCATGAAGATTCAAGTTAGTGGTAAGAAACCTCCCAAACACCTCAGATACATTCAATACAACTTCCTTCACAATCAATAACCTTTTGTTACTCCTTGTTCAAAACATTGAATGGATTTAACTTTAGATATGCTATGTGCTAAGCTAATATTGAAAAGACAACCACAATGTGAAGATCGTTCAAAGATTAAAGAGTCAGCTAATCCTAGCAAAATAGAAAAACAGGAAGTAGTTTCACAGTGAAGCAGTTTAAACAGAATCTGGATCAGTCTGACAGGGGACTCTCAGGACTGTATGGGGGCTCAGGCTGGGGAGGGGGCATTCTCTCACGATGTGCCACCATGGCAACAACAGGCAGCATTTTTGGGACATGTTAAAGAAAAAGGGTAGTGGGGGGTTGTTTAGACGACCAGCCTGACAGTTTCAAAGTGTGTGTGCTGTAAGGGGGGGTTTGTAGGGGGGCTGTAAGGCGGGCAGTGTCTTTTGTCCTGATGCAGATTAGACTGAACTCACTCTGGAACTGATCTGGTTGTACGTCAGGACTCACACAGAAACTTGAATCTCTGACAAAGAGGGACAGGCTCAGTCCCACAGAGTCTGGAAGGCCATTAACATCTATTAAGAAATAAATGTATGCAAATAATATTAATAATAATAATAATAATAATAATAATAATAATAACAAAGAACAGTTTTACTAATTAAAGCCTTATTATTTTATTTATGAAATGATTAATATATAATAATAATAATATATTAATATATAATATTTTTTCTCATTCTTTGTCATAACAAAAGGTTTGATGGTGAATGTTTCTGTCTTTATGTTTTTCGAATGAGTTGCTTTCACTTTTCTGCTGTTCTGTCTACTTCTTCTGGCTGTTTGATCTCCTTTCAGCTCTGAACTGACAATTCAAACCCTTTCAATTATCTACTTCATCTGTCTTTGTAAGACATTTTAATGTCCCTAAATGTCTTCTAGCTGAATCAGACACAGAAACAGGCGGTGTAGTTGGGCAGTTTCCTGTTGTGAGCTCTCAGGTGATTCTCAGGTTTCACATAAGTATTTAATAACAGATCAGATACAGTGTTTTGTTGTTTGTAAAAGAGAGAGTTTGTAATCCTCCAGCTGCTGCGTTGTCTCTGTTATACAGCAGTAGGGAGCGCTATGGCCCACCAGATTCCAGTGACAAAAACAGCAATCTTACCATGCTGATGATAAAACCCCTTTCAAAGTGGACAAAAACAAAAACAAAATTAAAGCTGCAAGCAGCGTTGGGCGGGACCTCGCACTCCACGCAACTCGGGCGTGCTGCGGCCGCGTTGCGTGCCATCGTTATATGTGCGGACCAAAACATGAAATTTCACGTAAATCAGATCAAAATCGCCACGCAGCACTTACTTCCTGTTGCCAGTAGGTGGCCCTATCACTATGTCTTAATATTGTCATGTAGACAAGTTCAGGGCGGGACTGTTATAATACACGTGAAGTTTCATTGAGATTGGACCACGTACGCTGAAGTTATGAGGACGTGTTCAGGGCGAGACTGTTACAGAATATATGAAGTTCACTGGAGATTGGACGTTGCACACTGAAGTTATGAGTGCTGTTTTATGGCGAATCTGCTGAATTCGACAAATCGTCACTGGCACGGTCATTTCACGTAACTCAGCTCAAAATCGCCACGCAGCGCTTACTTCCCATTGCCAGTAGGTGTCGCTATCACTATGTCTGAATATTGTCATGTACACGTGTTCGGGGGGGGGACTGTTATCAAGCATTTTAAGTGTGGAGCCGATTGGACAATGTACACTCAAGTTATAGCGAATTCATATTTTGTGGCGGTCCATCAAAATTTCCCGCCACCCCACAGACACGCCCCCTCACCATAGTCAACACATATCATCAACAATGTGTTTTGCATTTTATAAGTAAATTTCAGCTGGATCTGATCATCCTGCGAGGAGTACAACATGAAAGTATAAAACGTGATACTTCCTGTTGCCAGTATGTGACGCTATCACTATGTCTGAATATTGTCATGTAGACGTGTTCAGGGTGGGACTGTTATCAAACACGTGAAGTTTCATTGAGATTGGATCATTACGCTGAAGTTATGAGGACGTGTTCAGGGTGGGACTGTACACTGAAGATATGAGTACTATCTGTTTGATGGCCAATCGGTGGAATTCGACACGTCGTCACGGGCACACGGTTAAACATACAGTCACAAATAGCACAACTTTTGATAACCAATGTGTGTAGATTGAAGTGATCAAATTTGAAGTCAATCTGATAAA